ATTAAGTACAGTCCCCCATCTGCATCAGGGTACAGTTGGACGACTCTACTGATGTATCAAACATCAGTCAACTGATTGTGTACATCAGGTACAAGAAGGGTGGTGAAGTTAAAGATGAGTGCCTCTCTTGCAAGGCTTTGCAAACAGCAAAAACAGCTGATGTATTCTGAGGCTTGGACGAGTTTTTTTTTTTTTTTTTTTTTTTTTTTAGAAGCATCGAATCAAAGGGAGAAGGAGAAGAAAAGTACCAGATATCATCACGAACTCCTGTGTTCTTTGCCGTCATGTTTTGTCAGTCAAGACAAATTGCCTTTCTGTGTTTAAGTCGTGAATTTTATCTTGGGTCGCCCCCTTAAACCCCTGTTTTCAAATTGCTTTGTGAGGAGGTAGAGGAGGAGCATCGAGTCTGTCTCTTCCTCCTGGAAACGAGGTGGCCCTCAAGTGGGAGAGTCCTGCTCCGTATTACACAGCTCCGTGCTGAAATCGCAGCATGAAGCTCAAGAGAGTATCAAAAGTAACTAGGCTGAGAATTTTCGAGACGACATGTGACCTCCTTTATCTTTCCTATCTGGCAGAGATCTTCAATCACTTGAATGACCTCCATTTGTCTCTGTAAGGTTCAAATGCTGATAGTCTTGTTTGTGTAATGTGAGGGTTCTAAATCTTCAAGAAGATCTCCCTCTGGAAGCAACGAGTCCAAGGAGGGAATGGTGGATGCCTTCCAATCTTGGAAGGAAACTAGTGGATAATAATGTTAGTACTATGCTTGGAGAAACTATAGTTACTCACCTCACTCACCTTGAGACCACAATGACTATTTAATAAATGTAAAAAAAAATGCTGCCATGATTAAAGATAGATGTAGCGATTTCGTAAGTGGCTGCGTAAACGCTTGATAAATCATGGCCCAGATTGAACTTAAGTGTTGTAGAATTCAAATTCATGCGATCAGACTCTCAAGCACATCACACAGAAGGAAAACAAATGGTGATTTCGAACCTGATTTAATACATTTCACAACAACTATTACATTACACACAGAAATCACAATAGCCTGATGCATCAAATGAACAGATCCTCAAGGGCCGTGATGAGGGTACGAACTTACGTCCAAGATGATCCCAGACGTGCCTTATATCGTGTTCGATTGATGTATATTGCGCCGATTGTCGTGGCGCAATCGACTAAGGCGCGTCTTGGACGTAAGTTCGAATCCTCATCACGGCCCCTGAGGATTTGTTCAACCATTACATCCATACTCAGACCTTTCGAATTTTAAGTATCAAGTCAAAGCAATTAGGCGTTCTCGGGCTGAAGGGCGGCGGAAGCCTGTTAGCAGAAGTAACATGACAAAGCCCTAACGAGATGCCCAAATAATAACAATTATCGATGAACTTGTTGGCGCGGGCCTTCGTGCGTGTCTTCTCCAGGGTGGGTGGGGGACCTCATGCTGTAGGATAGGGAGGGATGGGGCTAGAGGGGGAGAATGGGAGGATGGGGGAAGGGAGGAATGAGGAGGGGTATTGGAGAGGTTAGGAGGGAGGGGACGCGTGGGAATGAATGAACAGAGGAGGTCTCTTGTCTTTTTTTCATTTTTTTCTCAAACTTTTTGCTCTCTTACATCCTGAGTGATTTCCAAGATATTTGTTTTGTTTAATACTCTGTGATACAGATGCTGCTCAGCCGTTCTCCAGACTTGGTGCCTTCTTTGGAGACTTGCTGTGAGTCCTTCACCCGCTCCTCAACCCTTTAGGTATATATAGGTGGCAGACGTTATTGGGCCATGTTTATATTTGCATTTGAAGGCGTGTGTGTGTGTGTGTGTGTGTATTCACCTAGTTGTTCTTGTGGAGGTTGAGCTCTGCTATTTCGGCCCACCTCTCAACTGTCAATCAATCAACTGTAACTAACTACTAACTAATTTTTCCCCCACACCCACACACCCCCAGGAAGCAGCTCCGTAACAGCTGTTTAACTCCCAGGTACCTATTTACTGCTAGGTAACAGGGGCGTCAGGGTGAAAGAAACCTTACCCTGGCTTCAACACTCCACATCTGACCGTATTTTATCTGGAGCTTCAAATAAACGGCATTAAAATGTAAATATTGTGCAGATGAAGGAAACTGAAGACAAGTCGTAGTGCAAATGTAGTTATGATAGATATTAGTAACGCAGGTCTGGAGGTAACGCAGGTCTGGAGGTAACGCAGGTTTGGAGGTAACGCAGGTCTGGAGGTAACGCAGGTCTGGAGGTAACGCAGGTTTGGAGGTAACGCAGGTCTGGAGGTAACGCCCCTTTGTATCCTGATCAAATACTTCTACAGACCCTCTTAGACCTTTTTTTAAAGGCCACTAATTGGCAACTCTCTTGTTATGATGAAGAATGAGATTTTCAGACTAAATGACATCAACTGACCGTACACATCTTTTCTCTTTATATTATATCTTCCCCTTCCATTTCCCCTTTGCTCCTCTTCCTTCCATCAATGCTGGGACAGGGGGATATGTCCGAGTGATCCTGGAATAGTGAGCGGGTCATCAAATCTGCATCGCTCAAAATTGGCTTCCACAAACATCCAGTTGTTTGAAATGTTGTACTCCCACACACACACACACACACACACACACACACACACACACACACACACACACACACACACACACACACACACACACACACACACACACCTAGCTACGCCTGTGTCTCCCTTGGTCACCTCTCACCCATTCCATATAATCTGACCATTCCCTATAATGTGCTCAACCTATATACGTATTGTGTATAGGTTGAGCTCGCATTCCCCCTCATTCTCTAATACATTCCAACGTCAACCTGGAGGGTCCGTCCTCCTCCCACACATGACAAACACTCTGTTCCTCTCTACTTTATCGACGTATCTGAGTGTCAGGGGATTACAAGGGATTACAAAGGGAATTTAAACAGCTTGTAATACTACAAAATATAATGTGATTCATTTGTCTGGCTGTTTTACATGTAAACACGGTATTTCTCGCATTTATACAGCTTGGTAAGCTGTATAAATGCCCCAGTAAACAAAAGGTATTTCGTTTCGTTGCAGCGAAATTGTTTACCTAGAACAAAAAGCGCATTTGCTCCGTGTTATGTTTGTGTAATATAATAACTGCCAACAGTTTAAACACCTGACCAAACATACCCCCCTGACTCGTCATCCTGCAAAGTTTAGTGACGCTAGCTTCGAGCATCTGGCCTCCATCCTTGGACAGACATTTTCTTTGTTAGATATTGATATGAGAAGTCACAGGGACTGTCCTCCTGGATAATTCCAGGTCCAGCAAATTAATTCCTCGCCCTCTGTATTACCAGTTGGTGATACACCTTCCTGGGTAAACTTAGATATATATAAGTTTACAATATAATAACGCAATAAAATAGAATTTATAACCGCAAGATCTTAGTTACGCACCTTTTGTCTAAACATAGAATCTAAACACACAATGTTACGATGTTTTTGTCTTAAATGTTCATCTATGCTCAATAAAAAATGGAATGAAGAACGTCTACATGTTTGTTCTTTATTATTGATCTTCAGTGTCTCAGCCACACACTTTATTTAGTCAATATTTTATTGTACCACATACATTACACACACACACACACACACACACACACACACACACACACACACACACACACACACACACACACACACACACACACACACACATATATATATATATATATATATATATATATTACGATTTTTAGGTTATAAATTAAACAGCTTTATTATAGTGTACTCTTTACTGATGTTTTTATTACACACATATTTAATTAGGATTATTTTTTAGGTATTAAAGAATTTTTTAAGACGTGAAATAAATTATTAGCAGCTATTAAAGACAGATGGAGGAAATAGATTAGACAGGCCTAATACACGAGTTATATACATACAAACGCGTTCCTTTAGGTTGTTGTGGTCAGATAAAGGCTGGAACGAACATAATTAGCGTAAATTATCAATGATTACTCACTAATTAGAGAATATTCGCCTTCCTCTCATATACAAATTTTTTTTTTTTAATGAGAGTGTTTTTTTCACACGTTCCATACAATGTTGTTGTTTCAAACAGTTAAAATTTTAAATGTATCAATATAATTTTATGTTTTGAACCAAATTCTCTAAATATTAAATTTTATCGACATAGTTTTCGTATGCTTTGATATACCAGTATATATAATATATTTACACATACACACACACACACACACACATATATATATATATATATATATATATATATATATATATATATATATATATATATATATATATATACACATACATATATATATATATATATACTGAAAGAATTTACACTGCTAATAATACAATGACAGAAAAATTCCAGTTTTTACTATGAATAAGTTTCTTTTCATATCTAAACATTCATATATATATTTTTATCAAGTCATTCGAACAAAATCTATAGTTCTACAAAGCTTCAATTCCAACAAAATATATAAAATGGTGAGGGGGGGAGTGGGTTCGATCCCATCGTAATGCCGCCATATTTTATCGTATACGCTGCTCCTAACCAACACTTCCGTGCAATAACTTAAGAGGTTGATAAAGCCCTTACAGGCGAAGCGTCGTCTACTGTTTAATAATTCTACACACTCCTTGACATTTCTCTATAATAATTTAAAGGTTTAGGCCGCTTATTAAATGTATAGTGATGAACAATAGGCCTATGTTACAAAGGTGTTTAGCTCACCGTGTGACTACTAGGCTCCTGGTAGTAGTTTGGAAGCCTAGTAGTTTGGGAACAAACTGGGTATCCTCTACGCCTATTTTATATATATATATATATATATATATATATATATATATATATATATATATATATATATATATATATATATATATATATATATATATATATATATATATATATATATACATATATATGCATATATATATATATATATATATATATATATATATATATATATATATATATATATATATATATATATATATATATACTGATCACGATGCTTTACTGAGGTACTAAAGTCTACAACTACAGGGGGTAAATATTTTAAGCTGGTGGAAGCTATATAATGTATTTACACGCTAGAGTTCCAGCTGTCCTCAATCATGCGAGGGCCCTCGGTTCGTATTTTGTAAATTGGGCTGAGTATGTTGCCTGGGATGATCAGGTTGCGTAAATTGTGTGGCCCGACCAGTGCCCTCCGAGTTAACTTTTGTGTGTCTGTTAGCTGGGCTAGGGCTGTCCTCTCTGGGCCTGGCAGCGAACACCATGAATTCAACACTTCCTTCAATGACTGGCTCTGTGGGACTGGGAACACTGACTGGGGAACCGACTGTGTTATTGGCAACCGATGGACTGCTTGTGGGCGCTTCAGAATTGTCCATCGAGTTGATGCTGTAATTTGTGTTTCTGGGAAGTTTGGTGTTGTTTCCAGAGGCACTGGAAGGGAGGCTTGTGTTGTCTTTGAGTGGCATGAGGGAACTCGAATTCAGCGTCCCGTTATACGGATTTCTGGTAATGCGTGAGAGCTTGGCAGTTTCTTCTAGCTCTCTCAAGATGTCATCCAAAATGTCAATAAGCTTCTCGTTCTCTTTTATGCGAGACTTATCGACTGCTGTTAGCTTTCGATTGGAGTACAGCGAGTCCGTCTCTGCCTCATTGATGATCTCGTGAGAGGTCGTCCTCGTAAACTCGTCCTTTTCGACTTCTTGGCCTTGGGTTCTCGTGCTTATTAGAGTCTCTCGTTCAGTATTACCCTCGTCGACCTCCTCCAGACCTACGTCTCTTTCTCTAGAGGAAGTGTCATGCTCACTTTCACTATCATCAAATAGGTTTATATCTTTCTTAATGTTAAGAGAGACTCTTTTTGCATTAGTATTAAGCACGCTTGAACTGCGAACGCTTCCAGAGGGCCTGAGGGTCGACGTGCTTCTGGTAGGGTATATATGACTTGGTTCTTTATGGGAAGTCTCAGTGTAACCTCTCCTCTGCCCGTTCTGTCGGTTCATCAAGTCTTGTTCACCTCTTCTTTGTATTTCTTCTGTGACGGTATTCACTCTAGCGCTACGGGTTTGAGGTGGTACAGGCGCAGAAGTGACTGTATCTTGTTGAGAGCGCGAGGTACTGACAGCTGGAGTCTTCTTTGTTGTGGGTGAAGCAGCTAAATCATCTGTCGACAGTCTATGGCCGATGATTTGTTCCTTATTTGGTGCATTCTTACTGGGTTCGGAAAGGTGATGAGCTGTCAGATTTGTAGAGGTCCCTGCCTGGTCGCTCTTGTGAGTGGATGCTGGTGGCTGCGTCACCCCTGTCGTCTCTGGATGAGAGGAGGCGGGAGGCGTGTCAATAGCAGCGTATTCAGTGAAGTAAGTGGCGTCTGATATGGCTCCATAGTCATAGTTTGGAATATATTCACTAAATAATGCATCACCGGTATTGAGGACCGTATCATAATATCCCTCAGGGAGTTCCTCAACGCGATCCTCCTCAGCAGCTTTCTCTAGCGAAGGACTTTCCGAAATCCCCGAGGGAGGCTGAGGCGATGGATGTAGCTCGCGGCTCTGGAGAGGCGCCCTGGTCGTCCCATTACTATGTTCGGTTCTCTCAGTTGTGGCTTTGTCCTTCCCTTCGCCGTCAAGCTGCAAGGACTGCGGCCGGAATCGTCTAGCGGCGCCAAAAATCTTGTTATCGACTTCCTCTGTAAGAAGCTCCAGAAGCTGGGTGTTGTACTGGTTCTGCCAGGCGGCCTGCGAGCCTTCGCCGGTAGCTAGCGCCCCGGCCAGGTCATACGGCTCCGGCCTGAAACAGAAAAATATATTTTTAGCAGTCATCGAGAACAATATTTTGCAACATGACACGTATACACAAGAATGTTCTCTGTCAGAGTATATATATATAGTGTTATTTTTTGTTTTTAAATTTATTATGCCCCATAACGTACTCGTCTAGAGATGAGTGGTGGAACTCATGCCCATCCACTGAATGGTAGTTGACCCATATTCTTTCTGTGAGTGATAGTGAACTCCATAGCCATCCTGTGAGCAGCAGTGGACTCCATACCCATCCTGTGAGTGGCAGTGGACTCCAGACCCATTCTGTGAGTGGCAGTGGACTCCAGACCCATTCTGTGAGTGGCAGTGGACTCCAGACCCATTCTGTGAGTGACAGTGGACTCCATACCCATCGTATGAGTGGTAGTGGACTCCATACCCATCCTTCTGTGAGTGTTAATGCACTTTATACCCCGTTCCATGACTGCGAGGTGCCCTCCTCCTCCCTTACCACAAGGACGCTGTCAACACTCCAACCATACCATCAGCGCCCCAATTCTACCGTCAGTGTACCGGTAGCACGCAAAACTATGGCCGGATTTCAGTAGGAATCACTAGGAGTTAGTAGCATCCAAACTCCCTCTTCCCTCTCTCCCTTGTTCCCTCTCTCCTCTCCCATCTCTTCTCACCCCTCACCCCGGTCAACTCACATGTCCTCAGCGCTGAAGACCTTCTCCTGTAGCTTCTGGATGTCGTGTTTAACGTCGGCAATCATCAGGCTGAGGAAGTCGAAGGACCCTGGTTCGCCCTTCTCTCCAGGGGGACCTGCGGGCCCTGGAAGCCCTCGCGGCCCAGGCTTCCCTGGGGCCCCCGGTGAGCCCTGAACAAGAATAGATATACAAGTGAGCGCAGGTGTGCGAGAATTAAGAGATCAAGAATGGAATGATGGGGATTATAGAATTATTTTTAGAAACACGACACACTATACCCACCACGGCACCGCGGCGACACCTGCAGAACTGTCGTCGTCCCCGCCCCTGGAGGACGGTCCACGAGTCGAGAGGGAAGTCGTCCTTGGTGAAGGGGTCGTCAGCGGGCGGCCGCGGTGTCGTTGGCGCCATCTCCGTCGGCGGCGCCCACACCGGGCCCTCTGGCCCCCTCTGCCCTGGGGGCCCCGGCGACCCTTCTGGACCTGTCGACCAGAATCACAACCTGAATTTACTCCAGCTGGCAGCTCAGGGCACGCGCTGCTGCTGCTGCCGATGACCCTGGGCATGCTCTGCTGCAGCTGGTATACCCAGGCATGTCCTACTGCAGTTGGGTGAGGGCCCCGGGCATGGTTTACGGCAGCTGGCAGCCCTTGGCATGCTCTGCTGCAGCTGGCAGCCCTGAGCATGCTCTGCTGCAGCTGGCAGCCCTGAGCATGCCCTGCTGCAGTTTGTAAAATAACCTAAACAAATTGTTTTGTCTTTTTTAAAACATTCATTTCCAACAGAGTGCAAAAGATTCAACTGAATTCTTTTTTTCAGAGTAATAATTCAGAACCATGGAAGCTGCCAACGAAACTAAATTTAACTGTTTTAGTTGATAAGGAGAGAGGGGAAGGAGAGGGAACAATGTCCCATATATATATATATATATATATATATATATATATATATATATATATATATATATATATATATATATATATATATATATATATACATATATATATATATATATATATATATATATATATATATATACTTACTAAGATCGTTTTTTAATTGCTCAATTCAAAATAGATTTAAGATGTACAAGCCATTACTAATATTCACGTTGTATGGCTTTGTAATATGTATTAATTTGCCTTAATATTCTATAAGAAGTTTCTAATTATCTAATGGTCTGTTTATTCATTTGTCAGAAAATTCTCACTAAGTTGATTGAGAGAGGTCGACTTCAGTAACAAAATATATAATCACTTTTAATAGTAACATCAGTGAATTTGTTTTAATACAAATTACAAAGTTATACAAAATTGATGCCTACCCCGATCCACCCATATTGGGCACGTACCTTTTAGCAAATTCTGTTAAAAAAATTGGCAAGGCTAAACCCCAAGCACCTATTGTTTCCGGCCCCGGACGGACATTTTATTTTATTGATATAGATTTACCGTACATCTTGTACTATCTTAAGATGCTCTTCTCAGTATTACGAAATATTGACCTGCATTTCACATCTCTCCAAGACATCCTCATTCCTTACTCTGTTCTCTAACACCACACATGTTCCTTAGATTTCTTTTTTCTAGTGCTGTAATTTCACGTTCACACTACACATTCGTTTCACAGCCGAACGTACGAGTCGTGACTATCATTCATTCACGTACATTCATGTCTACATTTATTCCCTATTGTGTTTCGTAATTCAGGCATTCACTGAGCCAGTCACCTTCCTTCTCTGATCCGACTCTGCCTTCAATATTGAGTAAACAAATGTGTATTTTTCAGTTGCATATCCAAGGTATTTAAATTGATGTCCGCTCCTAAACACTTCGCAATTCAATTATATTTCATAATTGGAATTTCCATCTCTAACCCAACCACATGGAATTATTAGTAGAGGCATGGCCTCGCTTCTTACTGGGTCGTCGTTCGATTCTCGATAATCCATATGGTTGGGAACCGTTCCTTCATTCGTTCATCGTATTCCAGCTCCTTGTCCTCATATCCCATCTCCTTGTCCTCGTATCTCAGCTCCTTGTCCTCATATTCCATCTCGTTGTCCTCATATACTATTTCCTTGTTCTCATATCCCAGCTCCTTGTCCTCATATTCCATCTCCTTGTCCTCATATTCCATCTCTTTGTCCTCATATCCCATCTCCTTGTCCTCATATCCCTTCCAAACTCATTCTTTCAGCATCATTACTCTTATCCACATTCACCATCAACACTCATATCACACACACGTCTCCCTTCCCATGCGTCCTGCCTTCCTACTTCGACAATGAAGCACTGTGACCTGTAACGGCGACCTACCTGGGAAGCCCCGGGGACCTGAAGCTCCGGGCGGACCTGGGGGACCTTCGGGTCCTGGGAGTCCGGCGGCGAAACTGTAGAGACGGACGGCCGTGCTGAGAGCCACCACCTGCAGCAGAGGGTAATGGTGACGATGGGGTAGTGGCGAGGGAGAGGTGGGAAGGGGCAGGAGGATGAGGTAGGGGAACAGGAGGATGAGGTGGGGGGATGAGGGGAACAGGAGGATGAGGTAGGGGAACAGGAGGATGAGGGGAACAGGAGGATGAGGTGGGGGAATGAGGGGGAACAGGAGGATGAGGTAGGGGAACAGGAGGATGAGGGGAACAGGAGGATGAGGTGGGGGAATGAGGGGGAACAGGAGGATGAGGTAGGGGAACAGGAGGATGAGGGGAACAGGAGGATGAGGTGGGGGAATGAGGGGGAACAGGAGGATGAGGTAGGGGAACAGGAGGATGAGGGGAACAGGAGGATGAGGTGGGGGAATGAGGGGGAACAGGAGGATGAGGTAGGGGAACAGGAGGATGAGGGGAACAGGAGGATGAGGTGGGGGAATGAGGGGGAACAGGAGGATGAGGTGTGGGAGGGGGAGGAAACAAGCAACGACTTGATAAAGGTCCAAATGGATTAAAACGTCCAATTCCTGTATTTTCAGACTTGTGAGTTGGGTGTCTATTTTTCAACCCGGTTATTGTCAGCAACGATCTTTCTCGTCAGATTTAGAAGCCTTGTCTCCAGAGCCTCCCAAATTCTTTTTTGTTGCCAACCTTTCTTACCTCTTCTGCTTTGAACAATCTTGTCAAGAAATCTTGCCAGAATCGTTTTGTGACTCTGCAGTGGTAAGCGATGCTGCCGTCATTGATCGTTCCAATCAGTGGGATGCACTTGCATTCCCAGCATCCAGACTAGACCCAATAAAATAACTGTACAGCTGGAACAGCTCAGAAGTGGAGAAAAAAAGCTTAGACCTTGCTCCATGCTGCATCGTTACAGGAGAACATCGATATACATAGGTTCCCACGTTAATGTGATTGATTTCATTAGTGTTTGCCTTTCCAAAGGGGGGATTCGAACACAGGCTTGCAAACAAAATACGACACTGACACTGGTAATCAGGCCAGGCTGCTCACACTAAGGAAGGGTCTCAAAAGCATCTAACTGGTACTCTAACGGAGAGTTGAATCCCCTCCTAAGCGCACCACTATGGTACCCGGTACCCCACATTGGTAGATGCAGACAGATATAGGTACAGATAGATACAAATGTAAATATTTTATTCAGAAAGACGAAAAACGCTTCCAACTTCACAGGCGTAGGCTACAGTATGTATGAGATCTACAACTTCCATATATCAGAGGAAAGCTTCATGCAAATCATGAAATATACCCGAAGGGGGGATGCATAACACTGTCGGCCCAGGAACAGTTAAATTACTTGAATGAATTATGTTGACTTTTGCCTTAGAAAACGTGCATCTCACGATAAACTATTCTGGCCCGCCGCACGGTGCAAGGTAGAGAGAGAGAGAGAGAGAGAGAGAGAGAGAGAGAGAGAGAGAGAGAGAGAGAGAGAGAGAGAGAGAGAGAGAGAGAGAGAGAGAGAGAGAGAGAGAGATTAAAGAGAGAGGGGGTAGAGAGATTGAGAGACAGCAACGATTATAGCTTCATCACACTAACCTTCTCCTCTAAGCTCTTGATCTTAGCTGACATTTGTCCAACTGAGGAGCAGGAGGCGGAGCACTGCTGACCTGAATCGGGCTGCAGGGCGAGGCTGTGGGCGGGGCTTGCAAGCTGCGGGGCATGCCATTGGCCAGGAGACTGCAAGGCCCCGCCCTCACTCGCCAACTCGCACGTGCTATTGTCCCCGCGTAAACGGTAACCTGTTTGTAAACAAAGCACATTGAGGGTTTTTTACACTATAGAATATGTGTGAATATCACGAAAATAAACACGTGATTAAAAATGTGACAGTGTCAGACCACGGAGGAAAATTGAAACAGGAATTTCCTTAAGTACTTTCGTATATTAATACATCTTCAGAAGGAGTCACTCCTTCTGAAGATGTATTAATATACGAAAGTACTTAAGGAAACTCCTGTTTCAATTTTCCTCTTAGGTCTGACACTGTCACTATGGAATATGTATGTTCTACCATTGAACCATAAATATGGCACTTCCTCTTTGAGTTTAAGACTCATTATATACCTTAAACTGTGTGACATCTTGAGATTATTGTCTAGAACTGTGATCCTCATCTCTCAGGATGTTTGAGACATGAGGTTTGTTAGCCAGCACAAGGATAATTTGGTTGGATTATGAGGATATCCTCAAGAACACGAGAATAGAACATGTTCGATCTATTCTTCTATATAGTATATACATATAGCATATATATAGCTTTTATATAGCATATACACTTTTATATACCTCATATAGGCAGGTCTAAAAGGATTGACTAGTCACTGCTGTAATGTTGGAGAGTATGACTCGGTTCTTGCAGTTACTCCATGCAGCCCGTCCTCCAAAGGTTTCCCAACGTCAAAAAACTGTCGTATTAAAGTGACCTTATCCTAACCTACCAGAGGACCCAAAACAGAAAACGGGTCAGTATGTCAATTTTGCAAACCGCTACCATTTTCTAGTACGACAGTTTTTGGCCTTAGGTGGAATATACGTCAAAATGCGACGTTCTATTAGGAGGACGGGTTGTTCTGACACACTGGTGAACATTGGTGCCCACCGACACAGGTGTCAGATCTAAGCAAATCCGAACTTTTGACACTGTTACTCTTGTAGGGTTTGAATGCATGAAGAAATGTAGTTTTTATTTAATAAGAGATGAGTGCCTTGAAATTGAAATTAAAATTGAAATAAGTTTATTGATGTAAAATACACACAAAGGGATGAGGTAGCTCAAGCTATTCTCACCCCGTTCAGTACATCGTGTTAATACATACATAGACACACATCACAAACAATAAACATATTACCAAACATTCTGAAAGATAAACATCTACATTTCCTCCTTTACACAAGTAGTATGGTATCAGACGTACATACAAATACTTTTATGACCTAGGTATACTGTATAGACAATTTGCAAGAGACATGCAGATAATTCAACAAAAAAATTAGTCTTGGTGATGAGTGCCTTGATCTAGTTCAGTTTCATCTTTGTAAGATGCTGATTTAGCTAATTATGAATATAATAATGAAGTTTTATTATATTGAATATAATATGAACAGTTCTTTAGACATTCAAGGACATTCACGACATCCTTCAAGAACCCCATGAAGGAAGCATTCATAATACTGTGTAGTGTACGCTATGTAATACAATCTTGGAAGATAACGTCTGGAAGTGTGTGTGTGTGTGTGTGTGTGTGTGTGTGTGTGTGTGTGTGTGTGTGTGTGTGTGTGTGTGTGTGTTTACTCACCTAGTTGTGTGAGTACTAGATGTGTGTGTGTGTAGGGGAGGGGGGGGGGGAATGGGTTGGATGTGTGTGTGTGATTCACTATATGTGGGTTTGAAGAGGATATTCCTTGGTAGAGATATGGTCAGTCAGCCTTTCGTATAGTTAGGGAGTGGCATTTGGTTCTTTTGAGACTTTGTATCCATTACTGCTTTCATTAGCAACTCTGCTCCTTTAATTATACTTGACAAACTTCATCACTGAAATGAATGACTCACATGAGTATATCGAGGAAAATACAGCTGTTGCGAGATTTTTCAATAAAAAATTTAAAAAATGAAAGAGATTTTTAAATAAAAAATATAACAAATAAAATTCCAATATTTTCAGAACCATATTTTCTGCCATATTTTTTCCGTTAATCCTTTCACTAACTAATCTTTTGTAGTATTTTTTAGTTCAGCTCTTGAATCGACAATTTTGTTTTTTCTCCAAAATAAGTTGGTTTGTAAATCAATTGCGTCTCAAAATAATTCAAATCGGTCAACTGCTGATTCCTAATTAAGTTTGCCTACTGTCTGCTTACTTGATGAGTTTTGTGGTTTCATAAAACTTAGTAAATCTTAGATAATAGATTAATTAGATTAATAGGGGTGACATGATCGAGGTTTACAAATGGACGAATGGACATAACAAAGGGGATATTAATGGAGTATTAAAAGTACTCAAGGCACTTGAGTAAATAAACTTAGTAAATCTTAGAAGAAAACAGTTCAGCAATTGAATCAATAATCTTCGAAAATAGCTTTTTAAAGCTCTGAATGTCCGTTTTCTCGTGAATTTGAAGATCTGTCATGTGTGTTATTTTAAGGTTTTAAAATATTAAAAAGTGATTTTGTCAACATAACTTTTGTTTAAATATTTAGTTTAATTTCAAAGACTTTTATGTTATCAAACTAAACATCAAGTGTTTATCCATCCTGTCTTCATAAACTATCACTAATTCTTAGGTATAATCCGACTGCCTCCTCCCCTTTGTTGATGAGTGTACAAAATAATTTCAATGCAACACGTCCGTAAATTAGGATAGACTCACCTAGACTGCCGCCGATTCCAAGGATGTGTTCATTAATTTTAACATACTGTTTATTCAAAATAGAAATTTTCTCAAATATAAATTAAAATTATATATTAGTATATTGTGCATATTTAGACCTAGGTTAGGTTACGTGTTTAGGTTCTGTTGACAATTATTTGTACTTGTAGTACGTGGGTGATACATTTACAGAGTTGTGATTCGACCAGAAGTGTCGAATCGAATCGAATAGATAAATTCAGATAATTCTATAACACATAAAGGGGAAGCAAGTTTGTTTAAATGTCCACTGAGAGAACTGCAGCCAATTGCAGAGTACTTTGGGTTATAATATCTGCAAGATGGAGTGTCGCAAGGCGCCATCTGATTAATACAACGTCTTTAATAGTGGTGATAATGGCGAAAATGCTGAGGAAGGCAGAGGGAAATTGTCGCTCCTGGAGGGCGAGGTGAAAGGTGAGGGTGTCAGGCAGAAGTCACCAAGAGGGCTCTTGAGTCAACGTTGGGAGCAATGAAGACGCTGTCGATGAGATCAGCGTCTTGTTTCAGGGTTCGGTCAGGTGGCTCAGCCAGTGGAGCTCGCAACTGAAGATGAGAGAGCGTAGAAAGTGTCGAAAACTAGATCAGGGAATATGAGAGAGAGAGAGAGAGAGAGAGAGAGAGAGAGAGAGAGAGAGAGAGAGAGAGAGAGAGAGAGAGAGAGAGAGATGTTAGAATGGGTGACCTTAGATTAGTCCTTAAGAACTAGCAGTCCCCGTGGCGCCGCGATTTGACCTGGGTTCGTATCCTGGCCGGGGAGGATTGACTGGGCGCCAATCCTTAACTGTACGCCTCTGTTCACCCAGCAGTAAAATGGGTTCCTGGTTATTAAACGATTTGGCAGGTCGTATTCCGGGGAAAATTAAGATTAAAGACCTGCCTGAAACGCTATGCGTGCTAGTGGCTGCCTGAAACACTATGCGTGCTAGTGGCTGCCTGAAACACTATGCGTGCTAGTGGCTGCCTGAAACACTATGCGTGCTAGTGGCTGCCTGAAACACTATGCGTGCTAGTGGCTGCCTGAAACACTATGCGTGCTAGTGGCTGCCTGAAACACTATGCGTGCTAGTGGCTGCCTGAAACACTATGCGTGCTAGTGGCTGCCTGAAACGCTATGCGTGCTAGTGGCTGCCTGAAACACTATGCGTGCTAGTGGCTGCCTGAAACACTATGCGTGCTAGTGGCTGCCTGAAACACTATGCGTGCTAGTGGCTGCCTGAAACACTATGCGTGCTAGTGGCTGCCTGAAACACTATGCGTGCTAGTGGCTGCCTGAAACACTATGCGTGCTAGTGGCTGCCTGAAACACTATGCGTGCTAGTGGCTGCCTGAAACACTATGCGTGCTAGTGGCTGCCTGAAACGCTATGCGTGCTAGTGGCTGCCTGAAACACTATGCGTGCTAGTGGCTGCCTGAAACACTATGCGTGCTAGTGGCTGCCTGAAACACTATGCGTGCTAGTGGCTGCCTGAAACACTATGCGTGCTAGTGGCTGCCTGAAACACTATGCGTGCTAGTGGCTGCCTGAAACGCTATGCGTGCTAGTGGCTGCCTGAAACACTATGCGTGCTAGTGGCTGCCTGAAACACTATGCGTGCTAGTGGCTGCCTGAAACACTATGCGTGCTAGTGGCTGCCTGAAACACTATGCGTGCTAGTGGCTGCCTGAAACACTATGCGTGCTAGTGGCTGCCTGAAACACTATGCGTGCTAGTGGCTGCCTGAAACACTATGCGTGCTAGTGGCTGCCTGAAACACTATGCGTGCTAGTGGCTGCCTGAAACACTATGCGTGCTAGTGGCTGCCTGAAACACTATGCGTGCTAGTGGCTGCCTGAAACACTATGCGTGCTAGTGGCTGCCTGAAACACTATGCGTGCTAGTGGCTGCCTGAAACACTATGCGTGCTAGTGGCTGCCTGAAACACTATGCGTGCTAGTGGCTGCCTGAAACACTATGCGTGCTAGTGGCTGCCTGAAACACTATGCGTGCTAGTGGCTGCCTGAAACACTATGCGTGCTAGTGGCTGCCTGAAACGCTATGCGTGCTAGTGGCTGCCTGAAACACTATGCGTGCTAGTGGCTGCCTGAAACACTATGCGTGCTAGTGGCTGCCTGAAACACTATGCGTGCTAGTGGCTGCCTGAAACACTATGCGTGCTAGTGGCTGCCTGAAACACTATGCGTGCTAGTGGCTGCCTGAAACACTATGCGTGCTAGTGGCTGCCTGAAACACTATGCGTGCTAGTGGCTGCCTGAAACGCTATGCGTGCTAGTGGCTGCCTGAAACACTATGCGTGCTAGTGGCTGCCTGAAACACTATGCGTGCTAGTGGCTGCCTGAAACACTATGCGTGCTAGTGGCTGCCTGAAACACTATGCGTGCTAGTGGCTGCCTGAAACACTATGCGTGCTAGTGGCTGCCTGAAACACTATGCGTGCTAGTGGCTACCTGAAACACTATGCGTGCTAGTGGCTGCCTGAAACACTATGCGTGCTAGTGGCTGCCTGAAACACTATGCGTGCTAGTGGCTGCCTGAAACACTATGCGTGCTAGTGGCTGCCTGAAACACTATGCGTGCTAGTGGCTGCCTGAAACACTATGCGTGCTAGTGGCTACCTGAAACACTATGCGTGCTAGTGGCTGCCTGAAACACTATGCGTGCTAGTGGCTGCCTGAAACACTATGCGTGCTAGTGGCTGCCTGAAACACTATGCGTGCTAGTGGCTGTACTAGAATGTAACAGTTCTTGTAAATATAAATAAATATAAAAAGAATTATAAAAAATAAAACATATAAGAAAATATCAGGCCAGATAACCCCCTCTCCTCCCCCCCCCCCCAAACTAATCCCACTTCTCCCCCTTTACCCCCCCCCCCCCCGAGCTCAATGAAGAGAGTACAACTGAAGAATCAAGGGATTCAAAACAAGAATAAAGGATTGAGAACGGTCCAGAGTAGATTTCTAGACTATAGAAGAGCCTCTAGAACTTCGGTCTCTTCAGCAAAGAGTTAGAAGAGGGGTGAGCTCTAGTACAGCCGAGAAAGGGAAAAGAGGTGGCAGAAAACGGGATACAATAGGGCAGAAAACGGGATACAATAGGGCAGGAAAGAGCTAAAGAAATATAAACGCCATTTCAACCAGGATTTTCAGTGAAGACATCCCACTGATTCTCTAAACAAATTTCCAACAAAGATCCTAAAGCAAATTTCACAGCAAATTCCTGTCTTGAGAGCCTTATGCCAACCAACATTATCGTTAAAAAAATATAACGTACAGTTTAAAGGAAACCAGCGGAAGTGAACACTAATTTCATTTTACGAGTGCAAATTGCGAAAATAACTTTCCCGTTTTCGTCATAAATTATCGTCTCGAGAGGGGTGACTGTTGAGTTCCTTCATTACTTCACTTGTCTTTGTTCTACGCATGGGATAACGCGATGATTACGCAAAACACCGAGTTCATGAAGAGTCATATACTTCCAGGAACGGTCAATAATCTTGATGGAGTTGGTGCTAATAAAACAAAGAGCGAAAGCTCTTTTGTGTGTGTCAGTATTTGTCAGTTTCCGTCTATCTTCTATCTGTTTAGAGTGTTACTTTTAAGCTTGTCTCTATCTTCCTGTTTATTTACGTCTGTATGCTCTGCTCTCTCTCTCTCTCTTTCTCTCTCTCTCTCTCTCTCTCTCTCTCTCTCTCTCTCTCTCTCTCTCTCTCTCTCTCTCTCTCTCTCTCTCTCTCTCTCTCTCAGTCCAACCACTTGGGCTGGACGGTTGAGCGACGGTCTCGCTTCTTGCAGGTCGGCGTTCAATCCCCGACTGTCCAAGTGGTTGGGCACCATTCCTTCCCGCCCGTCCCATCCCAAATCCTTATCCTGACCCCTTCCCAGTGCTATATAGTGGTCATGGCTTGGCGCTTTCCCCCCTGATAGTTCCCTTCTCTCTCTCTCTCTCTCTCTCTCTCTCTCTCTCTCTCTCTCTCTCTCTCTCTCTCTCTCTCTCTCTCTCTCTCTCTCTCTCTCTCTCTCTCTCTCTTTCTCTCTCTCTGTGCCTCACCTGAGCGGCAGGTACAGTGGAAGGAGCCGGGCACGTTGACACAGTGGTGTTCACAGCCTCCGTTGTGGCCCACACACTCGTCGATGTCTGCCAGGGGGGTGGGAAACAGACGTGTTGGAGACAGCAGACACAGCAGTAGGCAGCGGCAGACGTGTTGTAGGCAGCATCAGCAGGAGACGCAGCAGCAGCAGTCGCAGGAGTAACAAAAGAAGAAGCAATTATATTCGTGAAGAAAATCAACAATATCATCATTGAAAAGTAGACACCTCAGCAACACACGTGAAAATATATTGATAACTCGATAACGGTTTAAGGACCGAAACGTTGTCATTTCCTTGCTCGTCAGATGGCGTCTGGTTATCCGTGACGTCGCCAACATATCAAACTTTGACCCAGCTAAGCCAGATCACACTAGGTGAGGTAATTACTAGCACAAAACCCGAAGCCAGACCACTCAAGCCACACTTCCTCATTCTGAGACAGTCTTCCGGCTTCCCTGGGTCCAACCGCTGCGCCTTCACGCGCCTAACTAGCACTTAACGGCTGCTAAACCGCCGCAGCTGCTCTGCTGGACGTAATAATATGTGTGGGCGCACTACCGGTCTTGTACATGGTGGGTTAGGCTGGTGTCTTATGTGGTTGGGAGACATTCGCGATGCGTAATTGAAAATAAAGTGAAATTCACGTTCTTGCTGCGGGTGAGTTGTATTCTACATGCTAGTCATCTCTCTCTCTCTCTCTCTCTCTCTCTCTCTCTCTCTCTCTCTCTCTCTCTCTCTCTCTCTCTCTCTCTATCTATCTATCTATCTATCTTTCTCTCTTTCTCTCCCAAGTCAAGCCTGGCCTCGGGCCGGGCTAGGGGGAGTAGAAGAACTCCCAGAACCCCATCAAGCAGGTTACCACCCTTCCCGCGCCTCTCCCCTACTCACCAAGACAGACTGGAGTGAGACCTCTCTTGTGGTTCTCTGGGCTGAACCTGTAGCCGGAGTAGCAGGTGCAGATCACGCGGCCGAAATACACAGAACACTTCTGCTCACAAAATTCCTGCGTGCAAGGGTCCACCGTGTCGGGCAGGCACCTATGGACAGGTGTGTGTGTGTGGATGTGTGTGAGGATGAGCGTTGTGGCAGGTGTGTAGGGGTGAGAATGGTGGTGATGGTGGTGATAGGTGGGTGACGGTGGGGTGGGGGTGGTGGTGATAGTGGTGGTGTGGTGGTGAGGACAGAGGTGATAGTGGTGGTGATGGTGATGGTAATCCACAAATGTGGATTACCATCATCACTAATAACAAAATAAAATAAACATAAGATAGACTTAACTTTTCACGAAGTACCGACCACATTACAAATATAATTTGCACTTATTTAGGATTTGTAACAATTCATAGCAAAAGTTGAAGCTAATTATAAGATCTTCCTTTCATATTTAGAAATTTTATTTCCAATTTATGCAAAATGCCTCATTAGTGGTTTAATGCAAAAATATAATATAAATGAAGTTAAAACCAGGCAAGAGTTCGTGTAAGATAAAGTGAATTCTGAATACGACTTAAACCGTCTTACGAGAACGTGGACATCTGGGCCGCTATTCAGTAAGCATTTATACAACTGCTTGCGAAACCTGAACATCTTTCCTCAATCATGGCGGCTTTGATTTCCTATACTAAACAGTTTGAGAGTTTTGAAGCAATACCAGATTGCTTACAACAATAATAACCTTGGAGTGTGTAATTTTGAAGCCCATAAACTGGGTAATAAATGAAAATAAATCCACCATGATTAAGGTAAGATGTAGAGGTGCTCTCCTAGGTAAGGGGAGGCACCTATGTTAGGGGAGCACTTGGATAAGGGAAGCACCTGGATAACAGAGTATCTAGCTGAGATTAAAGTTCGCAGAAAAATAATTATCCCGCCTTAGATTCGATATTTTCTAAACAGTTTACAACGTCTCGTGAACAACGAGGACGATCTCGATGCGCTTCAGAACCCTTGGATATCCAAAGTGTTCTTCGCAAGTGCTTTGTAAATATTGACCCTGGGTCCCTGAATCCCTGAGTCCCTGGGTCCCTGAGTCCCTGGGGTCCCTGGGGTCCCTGGGTCTCTGAGTCCCTGGGTCCCTGGGTCTCTGGCGTCCCCTAGGTCCCTGACGTCCCCTAGGTCCCTGGAAATAGAAGCGAAAGACCAACCTGCCGGCGACGAAGTTGTATCCCTGGCAGCAGTGCCGCCGGAAGCAGTCGACCCACTGCTCCCTCACCTGACACTTGTACCGTGTCGTGATGACGTTGGCACTCGGGCATTCCAGCGTGTCCGACCTGCAGGAGGAGGAGAAAGAGAGTGAGGTTAACCTGCGGGACAATGATCATAATCTTAAGGATACTAAACTAGGCCATGGCCTAGGAGGTAAAGATTATGACCTGGAAGGAAGGTCCATGATTTAGGAGGCATAGACCACATGGCCATGCCTTCTTCATGCCAGACATCTAGCCGTGTCTAGATGTCTGGACTATTAACCTAGACTTGTGGTCATACACATTGTTTGGTAGGCAGTTTGTCTGCCTACCAAACCCTCTGCCGTTTGGGCTAATCAACATTTGTGACAAAGATGGACCACGGCGATAGTTCCCGTCTCGACAAGGGGAGCATCATGCATCTCAAGAGCAATTTTGTCAAGCGAATAAGCAACAGTCCTTGAGACAAACAGCGAAATTTGCAGGTAATTTGGTTTCCATTTACGACTGAGGTTTTTAAGCAGATTCCTTCTGTGATTTACTGGGAATATTCGAATGATATATATATATATATATATATATATATATATATATATATATATATATATATGTATATATATATATATGTATATATATATATATATATATATATATATATATATATATATATATATATATATATATATATATATCCTCGCTGAACAGATGTTAGCATTTATTATATACACAAAGTATATATTTTTTTAACTTTTAATTGGTATTAAACTATTAATCCGTATCGTGTTCAAAGGTGAAATTCGTTTTTATATTTTTTTGCGAGCTAGGCTGTGCTTTGCAGTTCGGCAGTAATGACGTTCTTTTATTAAAGCGTTCCCAGAGATTGCCTGTAAAATAATTTCGTGCAATGGTCCGTATTTTGATTAGCAATCTAATTTGCAAACCGATTGGATTCATTATTCATGATCATAACCTTACACTTGGTTGGGTTAAACTCTAGTAGCATTAGTCTTTGTACTGCTGCAAGATCTGGTTCTCCTGTCGTAACCAGGAGCAAGTACTTACGCAAGCACTTACGAACGTGTACATCATTCCTCAATCTTTGACGGCTTTTGTTACATTTATTAAACAATTTACAAGCATGAAAACTTCCGAGTCAACTGTTGTTATTGTTATAAACAGCCTCCTGGTGCTTCGGAGCTCATTAACTGTTTAATAATTGGAAACAAAGCCGCCAAAGATTGAGAAAAGATGTACAGGTTCGTAAGTGCTTTCGTGAATCTCGCCCCAGCATTCGTCGACAGTCCCTACAATGCCTATAGTTTGTTAATGTGGACGTACAATGACTTTAGTGAAAATTGGATGTAAATGCCAATTACAGTAGCTGGAAATGAATCACTAATTGCCACCCTATTGACCTTCATTGTAACGAACCCCGTACTGAATTACCTTGTAATAAACCTACTACTAACCTACCTCATGACGAACTACTTTTTTGGGGGGGACCCCTACTCGTAACAAACCCCCTATTGACCTGTGCAGGCGATGAGTCACAATAACGTGGCTAGAGTATATTGACCAGACCACACACTAGAAGGTGAAGGGACGACGACGACGTTTCGGTCCGTCCTGGACCATTCTCAAGTCGAGAATGATCGTCCTGGACCATTCTCAAGTCGAGAATGATCGTCCTGGACCATTCTCGAGTCGAGAATGATCGTCCTGGACCATTCTCAAGTCGAGAATGATCGTCCTGGACCATTCTCGAGTCGAGAATGATCGTCCTGGACCATTCTTAAGTCGAGAATGATCGTCCTGGACCATTCTCAAGTCGAGAATGATCGT